AAAAGAAACTCAAGCATCACACAGTATGTAAGATAGAGTATGGACATCAGAATGCTAGAAGACTAACATTAGTACCAGACTCGTTGTGGACACGTTTACCTTCCACCGGCCGGAGCTATGTCGGGGTCATATTGTCAACTACTTTAGTCTGTCTGAGGCAGTCTCAGCAAGAAGCACCCCTGTGAATTTTCACATCGGTGCATCAAAGGGATTTGGCAGTCATATTCACCCATGAGCCTTGCCTTAACTGCCGAAGATGGTCATGGGAAGTCGTAGCACCAACGGCTTGAAGAGTGAACTTACTCGTGCAGGTCCGGTGCATCATTACCACAATTGCGTCGGGTAGACTTGCCATCCCCGCTTAGCACTTGGAGCATTGCCAGTGTAGACGAAATTGTTGTGCTCTAAGTTGCTCCACTACGACCACTGTGTCCGGAAAGCGAGAGCACCCCGGACAGGAAGCACTGAAGTGCACGGGTGAACTTTCTGAACTGGAGAGAGGCCGCCAGTCGGGCATGATTTTTCCAAAGAGTTAAGTGTCCGATTGTATCTGTCTTCCGCAAAAGCTCGTGGAGAATCATGGCGCGGGGTCAATTCAGCCAGCACAGCTTTGAGTGCTTGAAGGATTGAGGAAATCGTTGATTCACAGTGTGAACGTCAATGCCTTTGCCTCGTGTGACCTTCACTGCTGATGCCGCGTGTGCACACGTCACGAAGCTGCAAGCTTACGTCCTGATCAACCCAAAAGCTAAATTGTGTGGGCCAGGGATGCTGGTTGCAGATGTAATTTAGTCTGGGGGGAGCAGATTCTCATTCGCCATGAAGTCAACATCGTGTGGTGCAGGCGGCGCTGTGTTCGAACAGCATGCTGCGTGAGGGCCAGCATCAAACAGTTGCTGACGGGACATGTCGAAGCCCGGGTGCGCTGGGCATTCGCATGCAGATCTGCCCACTCGATTGGCGAGGCAAGGCGGGCAAGCGAGCAAAAAGCCAGGGGAGCCAGCTGACCCGCTGATACTTGTTCGATCGCGCACGTTGTGTGGATGCAAAAAGTCATGTTCATTACATTTCGTCCGGTCAATACGGACATATGTTTCTTCTTGGCATGGCACCTTGTAGGAAACAATGCTAACACATACTGGCAGGCGAGGCTTCTCTCTTGACGGCGCTCTTGTGGCTTGTTACACCAACCACGTACTGTATCATCAACGTGCCTCTGCGTCGTCCGCCTCGTCTATGTCCTCGTCATCTTCGTCGACTCGGTCATCACCATCAGCACCATCATCGTCGTCATCATCATCGTCATCATCATCGTTATTAATTATCAGCATCAAAATCACCAACGTTGTCACCATAAAAGAATCGTAGCAGTAACTGTGTAGTAGCAGTCATAATGACGCAAATCATACTATAGTACGTGGAATATCCATCAGTATCATGACAGTCCTAACCCTAAAGATCAGAATCTGCACAATCATCAGGACCACACGTTCGTCATAATCTTCTTTTTCTCACACAGCCAGGAGATCCGGTCTTTTGGGCAACGGCCTCTCGAGGAAGCAGCACTAATGCTCGTGAGGAGCAGTTTCTGCGCCGTAGCGCCTTGCGTGAGTGACTTTGTCACTCATCGAGCTCATCGAAAAACACAATCTGAAGACTTTCTGGTGAGCTTGTTGTGCCCACACGGGTGCAGCAATCGATCAAGCTTCATTTCGACCATCTTCACCCGATGTCGGAGGTCCGTGTAGATCTGATTGAGACTGGTCATGTCCGCAGCGATCTGTCGTAACTGATACTCCAGCAGAAAGAGCTGCGCTGCATGCCAGTCCATCTCCTGTCTCGGCAGATCGTTCACTGGCACGTATACGGCCGAGGGCATCGGGTGCTGGCACAGAGAGTGGGGAATCTGCTGCTTCGATTGAGCTAGAGAGGGCTGTGGGGGTGATTGTCAGAACTTCTCAGAACCACCACATACATGTTGCGACTGAGGCTTTGCGGGTCTTTTGCGTCGTCTATGAGCCACGGTCCCCTGGCTCCCCCGGCTTCGGCTGATCCCAGCTGAATCACTGTGTAGTGGCCTTGGTCCGGTCGCGGTGATGCTGGATAAAGCAAACGATGTCATAAGGCACCCACCGGACAGTGAGGTCCGTTTGATTGATATCTGGCTATGACAGCGGGCCCATTAAACCTGGGTAGCCGCAGCAGAAGCCAGGGGTGGGTGGCATCTAGGGCATGCATGACATCCTGGGTGTGCCAAAAGTTGAGCAATGTTTGCAGGCTCCGTGTGTGCCGTGGCATGGCAGGCAGAACGACACAATGCGTTAAGGAAGATTGGAAACGACGGTACAGGCCTTCAGGCTGCTGCTGCTTTGTAGTCTGCAGCCACCTCGGTCGCGTCTGACCCCGGAAACTGATCTCGAGTTTGAAGGCCGCGGAGGTGGCTCCCTGCTCCTCCAGGCGCTGCATGCCCGTGGCGCTGTGGAAGTTGAGCACGATCTCGCCCTTCATGTTGTTGTACAACATGGTGATTAGGCGCACTGCCTCCGTGTGTTGCAGTGCCGGTTTGTCGGTCTCCGGTAGTAGTCGCTTCGCCTTGGGACACCAGCGCATGTAGCTCCAGTCGCCCCCCTCCATCATCCGTCCTGACTTGCGTCCTTCGACTGTGGCGGCTTTTTTTCTTGCAATCGTTGTAGTAGTAGCTCCTTCAGAAGCCGCCCCGCCAGTAACACCGTTCGAAGAGGAGATACCAGGGCTGGGTCCCCCTGCTACTTCTTCTGCCTCCACTCGCGTGCCATGGGTTGCAACTCGTGTGCGAAGTCTGCCCCCGAGTAGAGACCATGGATCACTCTGTAAGCCAATCGGGACACGGAGGCGACAGCAACCACAAGCTCCAGGTCAAGTTGCACGAGTGGTGCGTATTTGATGCCAAGACGCACCGCCACTTGGAAATCATTCGATGCCATCATGGATGGTAGAACACTTCGGGTGTCCTGCTTCAGGAACATCATCAGTCCCCGATCCTGCTGCAACAATTGCAATGCATCGGCCTGCTGAAGGACCACCTTGCTGAGGAGCCGCACATGCTCCGAGAGCTGCGGCGGTGGCTGCGGCAGATAGGCCATGTGCGGCTCCTCAGCAAAGTTCGTCACCATCACCATCATCATCATCCGTTTTTTGCACCAAGGACGTCTTGCATATGTGACCGATGATGGCCACCAAGTACAGCCCATAGCAGCTGCCGATGTCCATACTTTTCCCCGTAACTCTTCTATTTTCATACAAGCTTGTTTCAGTGTTTCAAGTAGGCAGTTCAGTCTCAGTCGTCTCTTGTTGTGCTTCTGTGTCTCACGTCCGCTGAAGGGCCTTTCGAGGTGGGGGCGGGACCACGAACTGCATGAGTTCGTGAGTTCGGGGGCGAAACAGTCGAATCATCATGGATGCCGGTGACCGACATGGCACCGCCGTGTGATCGCATCGTGGACATTCCTCACGGCATCTGAAAGAAAGAATCATCATCATCACCATGGCACCAACAACGAGATAGTCATGCACGAGCAAAACTTTTGGTAAACAAGTGTTAGTCGTAAGGCAATATAATATATATATATATATATATATATATATATATATATATGCACACGCATGTATATTTATACACACACACATACAGCCGCGAATATATATGTATATATATACATATACATATAAGATATTTAAATGAATGTATATATACATATATATATATATGTATACGTATGTATATATATGTATATATATATATATGTATATATATGTATATATATGTATATATATGTATATGTATGTATATGTATGTATATATATATATGTATATATGTATATATGTATATATGTATATATGTATATATGTATATATGTATATATATGTATATATATATATACATATATGTGTATGTATGTGCGTATGTATGCATGTGTATGTATATATATGTCTACACACTTAGCTGTACACATGTACATACACATTTACGATTATCTATGCACATACAAGTACGTACATACATATATATGTAAAGGTTGTAATTGTAGTCCAAACGATAACCAGAATATTGACCATCGTTACAATACCGATGATAAATCGGGTGAATTCAAAAAATATTCAGAATGGTCACACGCGTTTGTAATGGCTTTGCTTTCAAACAGTAGTATAGTAAGCACAGCATCATCGCCGCAGTATTGTAGCATTGCTAATGAGAACACTACAGCCAGTTCTAGTCGCAATAATGGCAGCAATACCAATCACATTATAAATTATAAACGTACGAACACAAAGAGTATGAACAACGCCCATAATATTAATGATTTTAGTCAGAATAGTAGTGCCAAGGTAAGTAGTAACAATACGACAATAGATGCTAGTGACTGTAACGATGGTAGCAAAAGAAATAAGCGCACGAGTAGTACTAGCATTGCAACTATGATCACCACGGTGACGATTGTCATCACCGCCGTCACCGGTAACATCACCATCCTTCCCAACTGGAGCCAGAGGCCTTTGCGTCTCATTTAGGGATGCAGCTCGCATGGACCATGTCCCTGAACCACCCCCTTCGCCATCACGGCTCTGCAGCTTCTCGCCAGTTTCATCGGTTGGTGGCAAATCAACGTATCATTCTGGCCCACTGCCCGCGAGTGGTGTATTCCCACCGGCTGGCCCAAGTTTGTAGCGACTTGATTTCACGTCGCAGTCTTGGACGTGCTGCAGAGAAGACGATGCATCATGCGGAGCCTCTCCAGATGGTCAAAGCCGGGCCCCAAGCCGACGTCCACAGCAGGGCCTGGCGAGATCCCGCCTTTGACGCCCAAAGGTGCTTCGGATTTTCTGCAACTGCATGTCCGAGGCTTCATTGATTTTACTGAGACGTTGGAGGAAGTTAGAAGGATGTCAGCCTTCCCTGCTTGCCCGTATCTTCTTCTAGTCTAGCAGTTTGCTGGCTTCTGCAAGACGAGGCCCAAGATTGATGAACTCGGCACGTGTGCCAGCGGGCTTCGTGTGGCAGCCTCAGCCGTATCATAGTCTCACTGCCGGCCACCAAGACTTCCGATTCGCACGACATCCGGCTCCCTCCTCACCGATCCGAACCATGCGATCCGATTCGTCACAGCACTCGCTTGCATCCAACAGGAAGCTCTCTCCTACATTTCAATCTCGAGTCGTGTCCACGGTCAAGCTCGAAAGCCCTTACACTCTCACGGAGCTTTGTCTGTGCAGCGGTGGGTCTGTGGGGTCGTCGCCTCGTCGCCTCGTCGCCTCCGATGAAGTTGAAAAGAACCCACAAAAGTGGGAGCGAGGCCGGAGCTGCCGCCAGAAGGGGCGACCGGTGGCGATGCTGGCGACAGGCTCGAAAGAAGTTTTCGCCCTGTGCTATCTCCCAATGCTCTCCGAAGTCCAGGCACTCCGAAAGCTCAGCCTCGAGGTCCAGGCCAGTAGTGACGAAGTGTCAGGTGTTCCAGTGCTCATGATAAGGGCAACTCATGTTGTTCTGCTGTTGCAGCTCAAGGGAGTTCGAAGAACTGCCTTTGCCCTTTCCGCAACATGATGAAGCTGCGGCTCTCCGCCGCTGGCGGCGCTCAGGCCTGGGATGGGTAAACAGGCCGATCAAATTCGAGCTTGAGCTCTGCACTTCCCTCCAGGCCGCCCATCCACGAATGCTGCTGGCAGCCATTGTGCTTCTCACTCCAGCCGCCTTTGCGGCGAAGGCTCACCAGTCAACTTGTCAGATCGTCAAGTCAAGAATCTACCTCGCTCTCCGGAACCAGTTGTGTGTGCTGGCAGGTCCACAGCACGAGCAGAGGAGCGTGTCTGCCATTCTGACCAGATCGCCCAATGTCGCGATCATGATCTGTTCGATGGTTTGCACCTCGTCGTTCTGCAGTCGCAGCGGATCCGGCACAGCTGGTTCTACTTGTACACTAGAATCATCGTGTAGCATATGTCCTGGTAACCATTGAAGAGACTTGGCCCAACATGCAGATGTTTGGAGTAAGAATTCGGCGTCTAGTCCATTTCGCCAGTCCTTGTTGAGAGCCAGGAGTGTCCATGTCCTTCGATGACTTCATTTCCGTTCATGGCCGAAGCTACCGCAAGGGATCTCAGGCTGGTGCTGCACGGCTTCGTACCTTGGGATCGCAGGTTTTGACAGGTTATGTTTGCGGATTCCTCGAAGCTTCGATTTCTGTGCCGGCTGGAAGTCGAAGGTCGGCCTTTCTGTGCCGACATGCGAAGCACCTCCCAGCGTTCAGCACTGTCAGCCGTCAGCCAGGAGTACGAGGAGCGCGGTGCTCTCTTCGAAGCTCGCCGAGTGGCTGCACTGCTGCAGAACAACAGGCCAAAACTGCAGGTGTGTCAGAACGATTGAAATTTTTGGGGTGTCCAACCTAGTTCAACTCGAAAGTCCGCCAAGAATCGCAACTCTGTCGGTCGCGTTTCGATACTTCGAGAGTTGTCGAGTAGCGATGCAGGTCTGATGCGAAGTGGTCCGCAGCGATCAACAAGTTCTCTGATCGCAAGGCAGTGGACCGAGCTTTCCGAACCATGCCTTCGGCCATGCCTTCCTTGCAGCATTGCGCGATCCTGACACATGTTGAGCCCCAGCCGAAGTGAACCCGTGTGAACATCGCAGGAAGAGGAGCTGAAGGTCATGCACGGCTACAAGCCAGCGCAGGCCGCATTATCGTCTCGGAACAGGGCAACATGACAAGCTTTCCTATGCGAAGCGCCGAGCATAGCGAGGACCCGGTGTCAGCTATCTACCGATGCACAGCGGGGTCACATGAGCTTTGTGGAGCGAAGAACTCGTGCATCAGCTGCTGATGGCAAGCACCGCTCCGTTCGTTCCGTTCAGAGCTGGAGCACTGTTTGGAGAGCATTGCCATCTTCAGCAGAACACGGTCGCTCTGATCTGCTTTAATCGGGAATGGCAGAGCTTGGATTCGAAACAGATTAGCCACCCCCCTTGGTGCAAGTGGCAGGTACGGCCGTCACAGGGCCTCTCCTTCGCTGCCGAGGTGTCGGAATGCTACTTGCACCCTCACAGGAAACCTGAAGTTTCTGAGTTGCGACTCGCAGGAGGAGGACCACTCCAGGCTGAAGTCGGCCTTACCTGAGAAGGCACAAAGGAAGGGCACAAACAAATAAAGATCAAACAAGACGCAGAAGTTACGAGCTCTGTTGTCAGCGCATCTCGCGTCACTTTCAACCAGGTTCGTGCTTTGAGACGCATGCGGCCCCTGTATCGGCAGGTGGATTGGCGCCATTTGAGTGATGGCCAGACTATCGTCGAGCAGGGAGGCTGTGGCTCTTGCTGGGCTATCAGTAGCAAGGCTGCATGGTATAGACTCGAGTCCAAAAGGTCTTGTCACGTAGGACCTCCTGTGCAGGGCAAGCCATGACTCCTTTGGAACCCTAGGCCCTGTGAAAGAAAACTGTTGCTATAACCCATGAGAGAAAGAACTGTGGCTGTGGTTGAGATAACTCCGTGGCTTGAGTGTTGATCCTTCCGAAACCCATCTCTCATCCTTGTGTGCAAAAGCAGTTCCTCAGCCATACTTGTTGGCTGCATCCTTTTGTGTTGCTGTTCGGCAACTTGGAAGAGTGGGTGGATTTCACCTCTCGCACACACACACACACATACGCACTGGTATCTTTGGAATTGTTGTGTAGCACACACTTGTTTGTGCGAAGTGACAACATATTATCTCACTTGATCACCGAATCGGTCAGGGGATAGACTCACCGATTCAATTCGAATGATTGTACACTCCGTGGCCATTTTGGCGAAAAGCTGTTCCAGCTTGAGAAATTTTGTTTCAGTCCCCTCGGATCACTCCTCGGTCATAGCCGCTCCGGGCGGCCAGTACCCCGAGCACTACTACGACCGCTGCTGGCGGCCAGTACCTCGAGCACTACGGCTTCTCTGTCAGTTGTTGACAGTTTGAAGGAATCGCTCGAGGAATTCAGCCGCGAGCAAGTTCTCGAAGATTTTCAAGTCGAGAAACCCGAGGATGTGACGTGGGGAGCTTGGAACAAGCGACAATCCCGACAGATACGAAAGGCCATCGATCATATCGCCCAGTGTCAGACGGCGAACGACATTGTCAATCTAGCGGCGACCTTGTTGAAACCGCCCAACCTCGAGGCCTTCTTGTACCTGCACATTACCAACCGCGACGAGTCCGCCGAGCCGTTGACGGTGCCGTTCGAGATCGTCGAGGCTTCCCTACACCCCGACTCCGATCATGCACCCCTACCAGCTGACACCGACGCTGCTCTTCTTGTGCATGAGACCGATCTGCATAATCAGCATTTGGCAGACATTTTTCGTGACGATTTCGGCATTGAACTTCATAATCCCGAACCCGCTGCCTCTACAGCTCGAAAGAGAAACTTCGAAGGGCGCCTCAAGCCCTCTAACACGACATCTATCGACTTGGATTAGCAACTTCGAAGCCATGGCAGTTCCTCGATCTGACTCTTGGTTCGATTTTCTTTGCGAGGGCTCAACGCAGAATATCACTGCCCCTGTGCCGAGTTCCATGCTCGCCGAGTTCCCCGAAAAGGTGCACGACCAAGCCCGAGTTCCTTTGTCTGCGATCAAACGACAGATTTGCCCCCGAATCCTCGATACCAAGAACTGCAACATGCACAACTGTGTCTACTTACACCCCGATTTCCTGAACAAGAAATGGGTGGTGCCTAATCTGCCTAATCTGATTTGCCACAAATGGTTCCAGGGATGCTGCGGGTACCACAACACTTGTTGGAACCAACACGGACATACCTTCGATGATGACATGCGTCGAGCCGTCGTACTGCAACGACAACTCCGACGCGGTGAGCCTCCGTATCACTACTCATCCCGAGGTGCTTTCCTCGAACAGGTGACCCGAGGACAGGCGCAAGAGTGGATCATGGACACCATGGCCACCTTTCGACACACCGAGATGCGCAAATTCAACTTCGGTACCAACTTTTCCAAGTATTACGACTTCGAGGCGTGGGACAAGTCTGCCGCTGCAGCCAAACTCCGACAAGAAATAGCAGATGGCAATCATCGAGGACGATCCCCTCGACGAGCTCGCGACGACTCTCGACCCCCAGCAACATGGGGACAACCACCGACTCCACCACGAGGGAACATCTTCCCCACTTCGGGATCCCAATTCCCTCCGGCAGCTACACCGTCGGCGGCTCCTTCGAACCCGACACCATCGACGGCACCCTCGACAGCATCTACGAGCACCACACCAAGACGACCATTCTTCCAGCTGAGCACGGACACGGACTCCGATGCCCCCAACTTTGGTCGATCCACCCGAGCTGCCTTCCGCCCCGGCGATGGAGCAGCTCGCGGTTCACAACGACCATTGTCACCGGCGAGATTCCCTCGACGATCGACATCACCGGCCAAGAGATGGCTCGACAACACACCGATCATCGTCGAGGTCCCAGATGAGATTGCCGCCTCTACGCCAGCCCCAACTCCGACGGCCCCACCTACTACCACCGCACAACAGACTCGACCGGCGTCTCCTGATCCTTGGCACGAAGATGACGACACCACAGAACCGCCGACTCCCCCTATGGCAGCTCCGGCGACACCTCCGATCCCGACGCCTACGAGCACTCAGGTGACACAGCCGACGGACCAAGCAACAGCTACGGCGACTAACAATCCGAGTGACTCCGAGTGGATCAACCCGGCCTTCGGTACACCGACTACTACGACCATTGTGGGGGCGAAGACAAAAGCCATGCCCAAAGTGGTCCCGCCGAGGTTCACGGTTCACCCGGCAGTGGACCTCTCACCATCGGACCCGAGACAGGTCCTTACACCGAACACGACCCAGTCTGGAGCTGCCTCCTCCTTGACGGTCGCGACATCAATGCGGAGTCCATACGCGAGTGTGCCGATCGCAGTACAGCCACAGCCACCACGACTGTCCTGCCTCGAAAGATTCCGAGTACAGTGGCTCGACACGCAGGTTGTTGACAAGGGCAGGACGTCGATCGACGATGTCCGATCCAATCCATCGGTCTCACACGAACCGGTGTTCGGATTCCAGACTTTGAGACACTTCGACAACTTCCCGATGCTGTCCCCGAACTTACAGGCGATGACACCGGTGGGCGGACACAATGTCGCGATGCTTCCTCCGGGCAACCACCCGTACTCGTCCTTTTCCTTCGATTCCCCATGGGAAATCACATATGACGGCGTCATTTACCTCGAACAGGTTCTCCGATGCCCGACCTTCTGACACAGTTTGGGCTGTACATTGACCTCCCGATCCACACCCCGCAGGACGACACTCTCCAGGAGAGGGTCTTGCTCCTGGGTGTCCCGAACAACTTCGTCGACCCCCGAACTACACTGATCTACTCGATGGTCTGGCACAGCATGACGGCGTCCCTCTCCGACCT